AATGAAGTTGGAACACAGTGGGAATATTTAGAATGCTGTTAGAATGCAGTCAGAATATTTAGAATGCACCTCGAATGCCATACGAGTGCGGTTCGATTGCTGCCCGAATACTTCCCGAAGTCTGCTTGGAAGGTGCTTCGAATTCACCTCGAATGCAGTCAGAACGCTCCCGGAATATCCGCCGAATATGGTTCGAACGTCCAAGAATTCAAACGATGCAGCTCGAATACTTCGAATGTACTTAGAATGTAACACGAATGTAACAAGAATGTAACACGAATGTCCCGAGTGTATCAAGAATGCTGCCGGAATGCACTCCGAAATCGAAATAGATTCCGGAAGTAATCGAGATGCATTCGAGGTGCATTCGGGACATTCTGGCAGGATTTGAAGTGGCTTGGCATTTCGATTCTCCCTCGAATGCGATCAGAATGTTTCGAATGCTGTTGGATGCCGTGAGAATATTTAGAATGCAATCAGAGTGCAGTTAGAATACACTTCGAATGTCGTTCGATATTTCTCCACTTCGAATGCACCTCGAAAGTTTTGAGCATGAGCAAATCATTCGGGCCGGCCGGCCAGAAGAATGGGCCCGAATATTTGGAATGCATTCATAATGCAGTCAGAAGTTTTAGAATGCACTTAGAATATCCAGGAATAAACAAAGAATTTTCATTCCGACGGCATTCCGGCTCTAGTGTGACTAGGGTTTAAGGTCAAAATCTGAGTGAGTGAGTATGGTTTTACGCCGCTTTTAGCAATATTCCAGCAATATCACGGCGGGGGACACCAGAAATGGGCTTCACACATTGTACCCATGTCGGGAATCGAACCCGGGTCTTCGGCGTGACGAGCGAACGCTTTAACCACTAGTCTACCCGACCGCCCCTCAAAATCTGAACTACCTGTATTAAATACATCACCATCGAAAAACTTGTCTGTTTCATTTTCCTCCCCATCAAACATGGGTGTATACTTTCATCCCCATCAAACATGGGTGTATACTTTCCTCCCCATCAAACATGGGTGTATACTTTCATCCCCCATCAAACATGGGTGTATACTTTCATCCCCCATCAAACATGGGTGTATACTTTCCTCCCCATCAAACATCGGTGTATACTTTCATCCCCATCAAACATCGGTGTATACTTTCATCCCCATCAAACATGGGTGTATACTTTCATCCCCCATCAAACATGAGTGTATACTTTCATCCCCCATCAAACATGGGTGTATACTTTCATCCCCCATCAAACATGGGTGTATACTTTCATCCCCCATCAAACATGGGTGTATACTTTCATCCCCCATCAAACATCGGTGTATACTTTCATCCCCATCAAACATGGGTGTATACTTTCATCCCCATCAAACATCGGTGTATACTTTCATCCCCATCAAACATTGGTGTATACTTTCATCCCCATCAAACATCGGTGTATACTTTCATCCCCATCAAACATGGGTGTATACTTTCATCCCCATCAAACATCGGTGTATACTTTCATCCCCATCAAACATGGGTGTATACTTTCATCCCCATCAAACATTGGTGTATACTTTCATCCCCATCAAACATGGGTGTATACTTTCATCCCCATCAAACATGGGTGTATACTTTCATCCCCATCAAACATCGGTGTATACTTTCATCCCCATCAAACATTGGTGTATACTTTCATCCCCATCAAACATGGGTGTATACTTTCATCCCCATCAAACATCGGTGTATACTTTCATCCCCCATCAAACATCGGTGTATACTTTCCTCCCCCATCAAACATGGGTGTATACTTTCATCCCCATCAAACATGGGTGTATACTTTCATCCCCATCAAACATCGGTGTATACTTTCATCCCCATCAAACATTGGTGTATACTTTCATCCCCATCAAACATGGGTGTATACTTTCATCCCCATCAAACATCGGTGTATACTTTCATCCCCCATCAAACATCGGTGTATACTTTCATCCCCATCAAACATTGGTGTATACTTTCATCCCCCATCAAACATCGGTGTATACTTTCCTCCCCCATCAAACATGGGTGTATACTTTCATCCCCCATCAAACATGGGTGTATACTTTCATCCCCATCAAACATTGGTGTATACTTTCATCCCCATCAAACATGGGTGTATACTTTCATCCCCATCAAACATCGGTGTATACTTTCATCCCCCATCAAACATTGGTGTATACTTTCATCCCCCATCAAACATGGGTGTATACTTTCATCCCCCATCAAACATGGGTGTATACTTTCATCCCCATCAAACATCGGTGTATACTTTCCTCCCCCATCAAACATGGGTGTATACTTTCCTCCCCCATCAAACATGGGTGTATACTTTCATCCCCCATCAAACATGGGTGTATACTTTCATCCCCATCAAACATGGGTGTATACTTTCATCCCCATCAAACATGGGTGTATACCTTCTCTTGCCAAGTAGTTTATTTTAGAGCGGACGACGATAACACAAATGCCCTTGCAACATAGACAAACTAGCTCGTCCATTCTAATTCAGACTGTCGAAGAATGTGACATCGCGTAGCTCACCTTAACACCTGATATTAATTTGCATTCCGAAGTTGTCCTGGGGGAACGAGACGTGGAAATTGTTGTGATGGATTCACTGTGTGGTTTGTTTGATGGATCACCTGCGACAGGGGGAGAGAATGTGCTAAAACATGCGACCTGATCATTCCATAGGCATACGTCATTCTAATGTTCTTCAAGAATATCTCCTTAGTAAATGGAACGGGGTGAATTGTGTAAGGACATGCGGCCTGTGAATGGCTGCGCTTCTCAAAATCCGCGGTAGCTGTTAGAGGATAATTTTATTCAATATTGAAAAAAGTTTTTTTTTAATCTATACATGGAACATCAGGTGTGAATATATTTACACACAAGCACGCAAGCACGCAAGCATTCACGCACGCACGCACGCACGCACACAGATGTCATTATAGTTACATCAGTGTGTGTCAGCTTATTTAGGACTGACTGACTGAATATTGTTTTACGCCGCTTTCAGCAATATTCCAGAAATATCACGGGGGGACACCAGAAATGGGCTTCACACATTGTACCCATGTCGGGAATCGAACCCGGGTCTTCGGCGTGACGAGCAAACGCTTTAACCACCAGGCTACCCGACCGCCACGCTTATATGGGAAGAATGTCCACCAAGACGTAACCTGCTAACGTTTACCACTTCGGTGAAGCCCTGCGGGGATTCCGGGTGAGAACAGTTCCCCAGCATGAGGCGAATTAATGGATGGGTAGTTAGGCTCTGCGACTTGGTTGATGCGTGTCATCGTATCCATTTCGTGGATCAATGGGTTCTTAAAGCTGGTAGTGTTTACTTGATATTTACCTGAAACATGAACTGTAGGTAAAAGAGATGAAGTTCAAGGTAAGAACACGTTCTGATTACAGAAGCATTGTTTCCAACATGTGTGTACATTTGAAAATGAAGTACATCATTTTACAGACAACAGGTGATGTTGCAACAACTGAACGATGGATCACGCAGTCAGGAGCTGCCTTGGCTTTAAAACTATGCTTGACGTAAGAGGCGACTAACGGGGTCAGGTGGTCATACTCGCTGACTTGGTTGATGCATGTCATCGTATCCCAATTGCGTGGATCGATGCTCATGATGTCAATCACTGGATTGTCTGGCCCAGACTCGTTTATCTACAGACCGCCGTTGCATAGCTGGAATATTGCCGAGTGCGGCGATAAAAAACAAACAATAAAACACGAGACAACCAGTACCTCTCTCTCTCACACACAAACACACAAACACACACACACACACACACACACACACACACACACACACACACACACACACACACATTAATGTAAATGCAGTATGGGTCACATGGCCTTGCAAGCAAATATTCTTTACTTAAATTCACTTAAGAACCTGTAAGAGGCTTTCAAAACAAGCTGTTTAAAATCTCTTTGTCAACACTGCTAGAAAATGTTCTTTTATTGAAACAAACCCACATGTTCCTCTTTTTACAGGAATGTTACTGCATATAAATATACACTTTATATAGAGCGTTGTTGTGAAGCTTCCATGTGACGTTGCTGTCTTCACGAAGAACGTCATGCACAAGATGGAAATGTCAGTGTATTTTGGTCATTCAACATTTTTTATACCGCGACTGTATTAAGACCGCGAATGTATTTAATCAGAGGATTTGTTTCAAAGGCGTAAGGGCTATGTCTGTCACACAAGGATTGTTTATAGTTACGTTCGACGTCAGAGTTATTAGTTAGTGTCCACTGTAGGCTCTCTGTGAAGTTCCAGCGCTTCAATTCCTTAAAATAATCATCTCTGATGTACGTCAAATTTGACAAAAATAACGTACAATGGTTCTTCACGGATTATGACTAGATACGAGCACTGCAAGGACATTACACGACGTGTTATTTTCTCTATAGAACTTTAAATTGCTTCGATGTGCCATGCCATTCTTTCAAGAGTGACAGTGAGCCTTAAGGTCACCTGTGACTCACACAAGCAAAAACTACCGTTTGTCAAATCCCCACGGCTCTCAGGTCTAACGTATTTGAGGATATGAATGCACACGCCGCCACGTGCACAATGTCTACAATTGCCCACTCGCACGCATGCATGTGCACCTTTTAAAGTAATTGATTACGAACATGCGCGAATGGGACTGCTATTTAAAGGCCAGTCGTCTCTGCAATGTCGTTAGTTGGTCTATGGATTGACAGGCGACATCGAGCGCCGAGGCCTCTCCAGGGATTACTCCATTACTCGACAGAATATCGATGTGGCGGCAACCTGCGCGAGCTACATGGCGCAGAAACGCCGGTAGTCGACATGCAGGAATAAAGAATACTTCCCCGCTGACGCGAGCACGGTCCACAGATATTGATAGGCGTACAATAATAAATGTATTAGTTATGCCATACTGATGAATGTAATTTGAATCAAAATGGCTTACGGGAGCAATTAAATGTGTGATGTCAGTCGGTTGGGAAAGACAGGCATAGTTTGGTCAGTCAGAGGTTGGACTAGTGAAGGATTTGCTGCTTTGTACATCTGTAGAACGCCGTTTTCCCGCGGTTTTGTCACTTACCACGCGGAATGTCGCGGTCGTCAAGGAGCAATGAACAGGTTGTCATGGTAACGACTGGTGTTAGAATTCCCCACCGTGTCTGCCTTTAAGACGGCAGTGATACGAAAATAGTAAATAAGGACTGTTGTAGGGATACCGCGAGAGGTATGCCAGAGTCTACGAGGAAGGACATCACACCTGCTAGGGTACGGGCAGAGAGACAATGAACTTCCTCTCTTCAGACACTTTAGTTGCAGAATGGCCGTCTGTTGATAACGGTCTCCGTAAACCGTCTTAGCCCAAGACCGCTTGACCGGGAACACAGCTCCCAGTGGAAGCAATAGAGGCGCGACAATCCTCACTTCGTTTGAACATCTAACAGGCATACCTAATACCGTGAGCCTATAGATCGTTGATGGCACTCCGTTATGCAACCTGGCTCCTCGTTGAAACGACCTAGCACCGGGACATGGCCGCAAACCCGGTAACATGTGTGGCAGACTTCCATAAGCGGATTGGGAGCTATCGTCTGCTTGTATGTGTCAGCGTTGACCACACAGGTGGCTGTGTCCTGACAGGTTGACCAGCACAGCTCGCGTGTGTCCGGCAGCGCAGACTGACCAGTGTGGACAGCAGCAGACGACGGTAGCACAGGCTGGTCAGTAGCAGACGACAGGTCGAGAGAGAAGAGGGTGAGGTTGGGACTGGCACTAGGATGCGTGATGGTGGTGACACGGTGAAGCGGCTTCAAGGTAGCGCTCAACATTTGTAGATCGGATACCTCGGTAGCTTAATTACGTGAAGAGAATCAGTGATGTAGCTGGCGTGTGTGTGTCCTATGAGTGGTGGCGGAGTATTGGTGTGCGGGCGGGAACTGCCTTTCCTCCATGCGCTTGCTTTTGGTGGATCAACTTCTAGATGCGATCGTTGGAATGTTCTGTTGTGGGAGACTGCAGGTGAGATTAACACATTGTTATGTTTTGGCATTTTTAAAAACCGTTACCTTACATTGCCAAAGGTGGTGATGGAATACTGTGCCCCGCCCCACTGCAGGCGACGAATCAGTGACAGGCAGACGACACTACCGTATGACAGACGATGAGACTAGATCCACCTCTCTCCTTAATTCCGTAACACATCGATTACACAATGTGCATGCGTGTTACAAGTGCGTGTTTTAACGCCATGCGTGCTACCTTCCTATGGCAATTAATTTCACTGACGCATGCCGAAGCCGTGTTCCTGATGTTATCTCATAGGATAGTTTTAGAATTGCTTCGATAACCTTTGATCAAGTAATACCCTGTCATCCAATCACTGACCTCCTGTTCTGAGGGCTGTCTCCGACCGTACAATCTCAGAACACCTTACTTCACCTTGGCGTACCCGCGAGGCTTGGCATCAGCATTAATGAACGGCCTCTCAATGACGACCTAGAAGCAACTCCTAGCAATGAGTAGGAAGGGGTTCGTGAAAGGAAATGAAAAGTACTAGTTCCATCTCCTGTGATGAAAGTGTTTTCAAAATGGCCGCATTATCGTCTCACCTTTGACCTGGGACGAGTACCGTCAACTTTCAGGAGGCCATGTTTCTCTTGTTAACCGTCTAATGGTCGAGATGTGCTCTCTAATACGCACGTTACAATCGGGTGTGATCGACAAATTGATTAGTTATCACGTTCTCAGAGTAAGTCAGGTTACCCTAATCACCATGTGGCGAATCTCTTCGCTATACCGCGACATATCATATACACCTACGCATAAGGTATAGCCTCTGGTATAGGTGTAATTGTGTCTCGTATTACATGTTCCCTGGGAGATGGACTGATAACTTGTCATCGAATATACAGTGTATCGACCAAACCCGAGCCTCGACGACATCCATTTCCAACGGGAACGAGCTCAAGGTGTGCAGGGATCCTAATAGATACTATGAACATCCTAATTGAGGGCAGGTGATCGGGCGAGAGAACATTCTAGAAAAATACTTTAGGAGGATATTACCTCTCATTCCATCATTACTTTTGAAAATACTGGATTCTGATTGGTCAATCAGTACTTTCGAATTACAATAACATGCCTCTGATCAATACTCTTTTTTTGGTGGGTTTTTTTTTCATGTCATTATTCATGCACCTTTCTATACAATTACAGTTTGTTTTTTAAAAAGATAAAAAATATGTACGTAAAAATGTGCCTGGACATGCAGAAACTATCACGGCAGTGCGTTCCTCTTTCTCACTGTTTTAATGTCACAGGTAATATTGCCAGTAGTCACAGAACTGTGAATTACACGGAATTAATCATGTTATTTGGCGGAGATTGTTTCCTACGTATAATAGACATCTCGTTGGATTATCGCACTTATGGAAACACGTAAGCTAATGCCATATGAAGTTGTAGTAGAAAAGGGTTGTTCTGCGTCAAATGCAGATGTTTCATATGGAAGGATCCAATGCTACTTTTACACCAAAATGTATACAACAGTGCACAGAAATCGAGATTATGGTTAATGGTTCCTAAAAGTCAAGATCGTGGGTTCAAATCCCGGTTCGCCCCGATTATTTTTCTTGGCTCGTCAACATTATGCCCGTGCTTATGGGTTTCACCGAAGTGGTAAACGTCAGCTTTCCTCCCACATTAAACTGACACGTGATATAACTGGAATACTGTTCAAAGATTCGTTAAACCCAACTCTTTCCCCTAACTCTTTACCTCGAATTTTGCAATGACAATGCCAAAGATACTTTTAACCAAATTTGATATATCAGAAGGACGCTGCGTTAAATATTATGTCTTTAAGTGGCATTTTAGAAGCCGAAGTATCAATGATGACTGGGTTGATTTATGGATTTCAATACGACGTCCGGTACAGATGCTAGGACCTTTATGAAGCAAGTGGTCAACAACTTAACCTAAACAGAATTTATGGATAGCTAGGTATAGATACTCTATATAAGTAACAAGTAACACATTCATACAAAATTAATCTGTAGGTATGAATGCTTCGCAGACGTTCAGCTATGACACCAGGTGTTCGCAAAACGATGGCGTGTCATGATCTCGGGGATGCCATGTCGAACTAATGCTTCCCTTAATATGGTTGCGTTACTTCTCTTCATCAGTATATACGTGACCTGGTTTGAGCGCATTCAGGAATAAAAGGTCATTTTCGTAGGGCGTGGGCAGGGGGAACTAATGTCTCCTTATTTTCCATGGCAAAGACTGCCTTTTTTATATGCCGTGCTGGATAAACCTTATACAAAACACAAGTTAAAACGTACCATGCCAGACGGTAGGAAGGCGCCTGTGAATCAATTACCTTGCAATATAGCGCTCTAGTAGATGACGGTAACAACTAGAGGTGACCTGACAAGCCAGGTCTTCACAGGTCTTTATGATGAATTACGGTGTTCAACACCTACATCCAATCACACTGGATCCAATGTGTAGTAATCTGTCCATGATGATTGGTGACAGGTGTAGCAGGCAGACCTAGTCCCGTCCCGGCCTGTATGGACAGAATCTGATGGATAGGAAGTACACAAACTGTACTGTATAGAAAGTATGCATATTACGTGTGTCAGCTGATACGGATCGATGGTCCCACGCAATGATCGTTTGTAGTTCCTGGTTATGGTGAGTGTCCTTCACCATATCATTTATCATCTCTACAAACACTAAAACATAAGGGATGACTCGACCCTTATTCATTGTCTCGTTAAGTGTTGTGCATGTTCCTATCCGTGGTCTAGCGGATAGAGTGTCTGCCGAAGAGCGGAAGGTCGGTGGTTCGATCCCCATCCGCGTGATACCAAATGACGTTAAAAGATAGTACTTTATGTTTCCTTCCTGACGCTTGGGGTTAGAAGGAAAAACCAGTCCTGATCGGCTGGATGTCAGTATATTGCGGCATGGTATCTCAGGGGTAGCACTGTTAAACCGAAATCAGTCCGGACTAGTACAAGCAGACAGACAGACACGTGCATGGGCGTCACTATGTAAGTGCAATGATCATAAACGTGACATTAAACTCCATCTCACTGCCTGTACGTATGACTGTTTGTTTACATGGCTGGGAGACGTTGTTGTTGTTGTTTTTGGTTTGTTGTTTAACGCCGCACCCAGCAATATTCCAGCTATATGACGGCGGTCTGTAAATAATCGAGTCTGGACCAGACAATCCAGTGATTGACATCATGAGCATCGATCCACGCAATTGGGATCGATGACATGCATCAATAAGTCAGCGAGCCTGACCACCCGATACCGTTAGTCGCCTCTTACGACAAGCATAGTCGCCTTTTACGGCAAGCATGGGTTGCTGAAGACCTATTGTACTCCGGATCTTCACGGGTCAGCTCTGAGACAAATATGTATAGTTATTGTTATGTGCCTATGAAGTTAAAACTGACAAAGACAACATTCCGCCAAAATGGTTTTTTTCCATGAGAACTGGACGTATTAAGTAACGTGGAGACTGAGATATGTTTCTTGAGGTTGGTAAGCGTACTTGTCGGGGTAATGGTCTTGTAGCGGATCCCGGGCACTGCATCAGTGGTCCATCATCCATCAGAGATGCCGTGGTGCCGACACATGCACAAAGTGGTATTGTATTGCTGGTTGCGGCGATAGGCAACAAACAAACACTTACCTTTTTAAACGAATGTGAGTGGCGGGTGCCAGCGGTAGAGCGGGACATACTAACCCTTCTTCGTGAACACCTGGTGTCGTCACTGATTGTCAGTTAGCCATCCGTATAGTTTTCATCACGTTTTTGCCTTTTACGCCCTGTGGAATATGTTCGGCAGATAATCGAGTTATTGTATTGTTTTTACTTTCGGTTCACTCATGACTGCTTAACGTATCCGAAAAAAGAAATACTACAACAAACGTGAACATGTTTTCAGTCAGATGCATGGTGTCCCAGTATACTGTAAGTGTATACAGTTGTTTCTAGACTTCTACCTCGTCTTATTTCCCATCAGCACCTGCCAGAGTGAGTGAATTGTACTTTACGCTATTTCAGTATTGTAGGAATTATTTGGGGGAAACACTGACAATGTGGTTCACATTTTAAATTCGTAAATTGAAGCCGAGTTTCTTAGGTATACTTTGTAGTGGTAGGTTTCATATGAAATGTCACCGCTTGCCAACATGGTTCTTTTGCCCATCGCTATCCTGGATGTTTTTTTATCCAATCTCGCTATTCCGAATCCTCATTAAACCGTATATCGTTACACCATTATCTTCAATTGGTAATGGGAGCGGGCGGGTACCCCAGTGGTCAAGGCGTTCGCTCGTCACGCCGAGGACCCGGGTTCTATTCCCGACATTGGTACATTGTGTGAAGCCCATTTCTGGTGTCCCCCGCCGTGATATTGCTGGAATATTGCTGAAAACGGCGTCAAATAAAATTCACTCACTCACTCAATTGGTAATAGGCATAACTGACGCTAGGAGTGAATGCAATTTCTCTCTGGATTCCGCGATAGTTCAGTTCACCTGTATATGTGTGCCAACTAATTATAAAAACTACATACAGTGGAGATGTCATGAAACAACCAGCTGTCTGACAATGGAGCCTATATCCTGAGAACAGGCTATCTAGAACAAGAATTACTGTTCGTCTTATATTCGTAACCCTTACCATTTAAACACTACGCAAGAAGAATCGTCAAATGTCAGCACGGCCTTTGAAAAAGTTCAGTTTCTCTCGTCGTGTTTGAACAGTGAAAATTGTTCTCTAGCTTGCCACTTAAAGTCTCAAGCCAGATACACGGGGGTTCTGTGAGGGGGCGAGGCTTGTGGGTGGTGGCAGGGTGCGGTCAAACGTGTGACAGTCCTTGCGACATATTGTGTCGGGTACAGAACATCTGATGGAGGTGGGCAAGGAGCTCCTCATGGCCCTGCTGAACACCGCCGTGGTGGAGAGATTCATCTGTACGTGTATGGTA